AAACGAATAAGCATCATGATGCGATGCGACAGGCGTCCCACTAACTGCTGGCCAGGGATGTGCAGTTGAGTAGGAAAGATCAGATTCCTTTTCAATGTCTAACGACTGGTCACACTTAATTCCAGAGAGTTTAGGTGAAGTAGTACTTTTGTTTTTTGATTCCATTATTGAATTACCGAGGTAGGTACTTGTCGCTGGATGAGAGGTTTCACTTTTCACTCGCTTGTCCTGCAAGAAAAGTTAAACTTCTAATGAATATTCTAAAAATGTTTTTGAAGTGACCCAAATTAAAGTAAAATAATTTGATGCAAATGTCCAAAGCACATGAAAAGCGTCAAGATAATGTACCGAGTTGAAGCAAAAAACTACTTGTTTTCCTCTCATACCGCTCTATTACAAAAGAAACTTCCAAGTAAAGTTTAAAAGAGTATTAAGACTCTTACAGCTCCTAATTTCCCATTAGGTTCTTCTTTACAATCCTGTTTCGAATAAAAAAAACCAGGGATGTCTTTTTGTGAACACCGTGATTGAGACGTCCAGTCAATGCTAAAAAAAGGGGTCTTTCAATACTAGTTTTAGATTATGAAGTGAGACTCTTCCCGGTGAATTTGCAGTGGTTAGCTACAATCCTTATTAAATCTTTATTTTCAGTCCACTCTCGTTCACTATTAACTCCTTCACTCCCTTTAGTCCAACTACAAATTACTGAAGTAATTAAAATAAACTTTTTACTTCTGTTTGACCAGTAGAAGATAATTTATTGGTGAAAAAAAGTTGGTATTCTGCCTTAGTCAGCTCATCTTCTACCTACTGTAGTTCTTTCTAAAAATTACACCGGGAGTTTAATCTTCACAAGAAACGTTTCTTACCAAAATCTAATAAAAAGGATTTCCTACAATGCATTTACTTGCCTTTTCATCGTCCCATTTCTATAACCTCTACGGAAGAAAAAATTAAGGAAACCAAAGTTCGGTGATGGTCAAAAATGCAATAATTTCTCAAAAAACGTCGAGAACAGAGAACAAGAACGTAACTGTCCCCATAAAAAAACTTGCCAACACTGGAACTACCGTCTCAGAGTATCATCTTGACCCCCTATTTGTCTCACCCTATTTCAACTGAATTTCCCATCTTTTGAAATTTAAAAGCTTGTAAACGGTTCCTCAAAATGAGAACTTGAAGATTCTTTACTCAAATCTTTGAATTCTAAAAAAGACAACTTCTGAATAACAAAAATTACGCATTTTTATAAGGAATGACTCTACTTTTTACTTCCTAAAGAGTAACCGAAATTAAAGCTTGAAAAGGTCAGTTAATTAAGGTAAGGTAGAAAATAACGACAAATCCTTCATTAGTGCCAAAATATTTATGTTACGAGAAATTATGGTAAACGAAGTAAGTGTACCTTTCTGAGCCCTCTGCAGACCCACAACCCAACGTGGGTCGTGCAATATCACATAAATCACGATTTCTTCTGCACCCCTCAAACTTTATTGGTACATTATAAACATTTCTCCCTCTGAAATTGACAAGAAAAAACTGAATTTGTGTGTAGAAGCGAACTAAACCACAGCTGAGAAACACAGAAAAAAGAAAGCTAGTGAACTTACGGTAAAAACCTTGAAAAAACCATCAGTTATTTCGCTACTAAAAACAAGCTAAAAATGCGTCACGATCAGAAATATACACGCAAAATGAGAATAACTCGCTAACCAAACGTCATTCTTAACTAAAGTCCAGTCTTTTATCCTACTCATCCTCAGTTGCGAAACCACATTAAAAACGCCCCTAAAAATAAGAAAAACGAACTGCATTGGAGAACGTCTTCCAGCTTTTTCCCGCATGTAAGTACTCGATGCGCATCCTTCAGGTGCTGAAGAACGAACATCACTTGTCGTTGGATAACGAATATGATTCCCGGCTACAAGGTGCTGCTTTTTCCTCATTTTATCTCCCTCCGAGCAGTCCTAAATTTAAATGAACGTCAATTATGATCTTTACTAAAGATTTAATGCTGCTACTATTAGCTGCGTCCTCATATATCCACAAACATTAACATATGAACTAAAAGCTGCATGAAAAACAGACGCTTATAATCCATTTTACTATAACAAGTTACAGTGTCATATGCAACTGAGAAAACAATTTCAGAAACGAAAAAAAAAGTACATAAAAAATTTGAGCAACGCTAATTG